TTAAGTTTTTTGGTTGGTGTTGTTAATATATATATATATATATATATATATATATCTTCTAAATGTGCTCAGTGTTAAACTACATTATTCATGCAATTATTTTAACCCTATGAGCATGACTGGTCAAAGTAGGCATGTCATGACTTTTACAGAGATGCGTTCAAAATGTATGCAAACGACTTGATTCTCAATGTATGTAATTGAACTTTTTATGTTATCTAAGTTTTAGTTTGTTAATTTTGAAAGAAAATACCTGAAAAAATACATAGTCTTCATTTCTATGGCGTGTGACATTTCTGTGCTCTGAATTCTCCCATGTATATTTTATATCTTCCTGGTTTTCAGAGTGTCCAGTCAATTAGAAACACAAACTATGCAGAATGATAAGCAAGAATATAAAATGTTAACCTTTTTATCTTCTTAATTTGTTGAGATATCAATAACTTTGTGTCAAACCTACCAGAGAAGCCCCTTTCATCTTTCCATAGCTTTCAAAGCATTTATCTTACATGTCCTTATATGATAGGGCTAAGGTGCATTTATAACGAATAGAAAGAGAGCACTTTTCTCACTACAAAAACTTAGTATGGTTATTTCTGTTTGGTGGGCATACATACAGTTGACCTCGGATCTTTTTTTTTGTAATAGCATCTAATGTAATTTGCTTAACTTATTTATGACTTAGTTAGAAAACCAGTTAAATTGTAGTAGTTTTGGGGTATTCTGTTCTAGCACTTTATATATTTTTTGTGTAATAAAATTCGTATTTGAAAGCTACATTAGTTTTTAAGTAACTTGGTGAGGAAAAAAAATATGGTTAATGTGCCATGGCATGTGAGTTCGTATGGTCTCAACCCAGACAGAAGTGCTAAATTTGTTGTTTTTTGTGTGTACATTTTATTTACTGTTCTATTTTTTAACAACAGGTATTAAATGGTAAAACCTTTAAGCATGTTGGGTTAGATAACAAAACTTAAGTAAATTTTTTAATTCCACAAGCTCGGTGTGACGTATGGAATTCACCAACATTCGTAAAGGTACTCGCATATTAATAACACAGGCATTGGGAGACAATTAATTAAAATTTACTAGTCACAATTTTCACATAAAACAAACACCGGAACAACATCTTACACAATCTTCTTACCATAACCAACACATCTTGAATTTCTAACCTCACTTAGCTATTGCTAAGTGATGATTGGCCAATCACAGTAAAAAACAAAAACAAATACGCATTACTAAGTTGAAATGGGTGTAAAGAAGCTCTGTTTATACATGTAACATTACTAAGTTAGAAGGGGGGGGGGTAAGGAAGCCAAAAACAGATAACTGTCAATCCATAAGGCAAGCTTGCAGGTTCCCTTGTGACTGTATCTTAATTACTAGCTTACCTTAAGATTTACCAGAAACATCCCACTGTGATTTATTGCTTTTTAAACAGAAAGAGGGTCTAAACGTTCAGTAATAAACCTATAAAATGAAAATAAAACAGATGTGTAAAGGATAGATGATGATGTTGTGAGGATAGATAATTGAAATCATCTGTTACAATCTGTGATCATTCTTTAAAAAAAAATGGTATTATTCAACTTTTCCTTTTACTGTAAATTGATGGTTTCACTACGCTTAATGTTGGGATAGAGAAAATAACAGACAAAATATGAAGTCTTGCCAGAAAAAAACTTGATATTCATTTATGGGGTTCTAGAGGTTATGCAAATGAAATATGAAAAGTGTAAGAGGAAAAGACTCAAATTGACTCAGTGAAGACTTAAGAAATACAGACACATTTTAATTAAAAAATTCAAATTTTTTGTGTGTGCATCAGATTTGCAATGTTTACTAAAAGTTTGCCAAACTTCATGAAGATAAATGTAGTAAATTCAGAATTATAGTAAACATTACTATGTATTTTAAGATAGTTTGTTACGGTATAACTTTACAGATGTTGGTGCAGTAGACCAACTCTGTGCATGTAGGTTTAAATGCCAAAAGCTGATATAGTAATGAAACCAACATACCTAATATTAGTGATCAAAATCACAGTAAAGTGTAGATGTTGTTTTTCTCCATATTCCCTATAATTAGTCAATTGCATATTTTAACTTGGAGGTATGCAGAATAGTATTTTAAACCCATTTTCTGTCTGTTATGCTTTGCTGACTAGCAGAACTATCATTCAGTACAAGAATTTGCCAGTTAGGCTAGACATAATGACAGACAAACAGTAGAGACATATAGTGTTGTGGTTTTACATGCTGCAAACATATAAAATAGCATTTAGGTTAAACTTTTCTGCTGATGAGTTCTTATATTGAACAAAAGCTCTCTGAGTAATGATGTGTGTCAGATAGAAATAATTTAAAACATTTTTTATACATGCCTTTGATTTGAACTCTGTAATTGGCTGATAAAGAAGAATGTGGGGAAAAGGAGATTCTCTACTCTTTTGCTACTACCACTCATATTAGGCCTGTTGGTGTCATTAGTTCCTGTTTGTATTATAATGAAATTTACTTAAATAATACTTTTTCTATAAATAGCTCAATTTTCTTGAAATACACAATTTCCATGTACTGCTTTGTACCAGTCAATATTTCACCTAGTTTAGAAAAGGAGAGTTTACAAAACTGAGTAAATTAATCTCAAAATGTGCATATTTTTCATTTTCTAAACAGAAAATATTATTATTTTTTCTTTTTTTTAATTTCAGTCAGTTGGTTTTATGAAGATATTTGAGGCATTTCTTTCTAGCTTTTTTTTTGGTAATATGTCTTCTTTTTTTCTACTTAATTAACCTAAACAATTTTTTTTTATTGCAGGCCTCATTAAACAAGTTGTGAAACATCATAGTCAGTTTATCTATACAAGAACTACGAAAGGAGATGATGCACAATGAAATTTGTACATTAACCAGAATGAAATAAACTTTTGTTGCTCGTGATTATTCCTTTGAACTGAATTATTTTTTAAATGAATTAAGTTAGCAGCAATATATCTCATTTTCAACCTGTGGTATACCTTAAGCTATTTTAAGTGTAACATGTTTGTAGGGAAAGAGATTTCACTAAATCTATACTTTTTTAACATATGAAATAGAATATAACATAGTTGAAAATAAACATATTTCAGATAAAGCATGGAAAAATATTCTTGTCTATTGGTTAAGCCAGAAGATCGACTGCTAATAGAGCTGGTAAGGTATCAAGATGGCTGAACTGTTCTGTTGTGCTGTATGCTCAAAGTTTGACATTTGTTCTATTTAGATAAATTAAGTTGATTTAAAAATACATATATATAAATCAGTAGGTAGGGAAAAAATGATAAACAGTGTGTTAAAGATTTCATTAGTCCCTATTTAGCTAAAAAATGGTTTACTTAAAATCTGATCATGTTTTTGCAGTAATAAGTGTCATTACGTTATTAACTTAAAACAATTATTTAAAGGTCAGTTATGGTAAAAGGTGGTGGATCATGAACTTTCTGTAACCATTATTAAAGCTATTTAGTCTGTAATTACCTTATTGTAGACTGTAAGTTGTGCAAAGCCGTTATTGATAAATATTTGAATTGAGAAGACTTAAAATTTCTTAAGATTGGTATTCATTTTCATATGCAAGATTTTTAACTAGATGATTTTGGTATTGACAGAAACTGCATGCTATATTGTAGAAGTAAATACATGCCACAATTTCACAGATAAACTTGCTAAAGGAATCAAAAAATGGTTTAACTCGACCACATTTCTGTGTTTAGTTTGACTCATCTATGTATCTTGTTTTCAAAGAACAGTTTTAGCTTGAACTTGAAGTAAATATTCTAAACAGAAGATGAATACTAGAATGGTAACTTATTAAATGTATATGAATAAAAGAAAAAAATCTTGATTTACCAAAATGTTCTTGACTTGTCTTAACATCTATTATACAAGCAGTGAAACACTTTTTGTTGAAACATAAACAAAGTATATAAAACACAACAACATCACTTACTATCAAATTTGCAATATATAAATACAAAGGATATTCAATAAAAAAAAATATAAGTTATTGTAAAACTTTTAAAGAGTCTAAATGATATATCAAAGAGAATTTTGGGGGTGGGGGAGAGAAAGATTACATAGTTCAAAAAGTTTAAATTATGTTTTTTAGAGTGAGGTGGTATGTGCTGGGAATTACCATTTTATGATGAAGTTTCTTAGATTTGTTAGAAAAAAAAATAGCATAAACAAAAGGAGATTTCAGCACAAACTCCTGTTAGGTGGCACTCAAAGTGTTTGAGTACATGCTAGTTTCTCATCTTACTAATCTATGCTTAGCTGCTTTTGTCAGCCAGACATTAAAAGTATTTGACAAAAATGTTTTTCTGAAGATAAGCATGTATGAAGGTTGGAACTTAAAAGAACTGAGAAAAAAAAAGGGGAGAGCTTCAGCTAAGAATTGCCTGCATTTCAGATTGGAAATGATTAGTTAAAAGGTAAATATTATTAGCTATTTAAGAGTCATTTGTAACAAGAATATGTTATTTTCTCCAACAAGTTAAACAAGTTCTAATACTTTTTGTTTTTCATTCCAGTTACTAGTCATTAAAATTTTAGTTAAAAAGTCATACTAGTGACTGTTACGTAACTTTTTTTTAACAAAAAAAAATTAAACCATGATGTAGCCCAACATGGATATAATTAGTTATATGTCATTTATTCCAGGATATATTTAACACAAACAAGGAGTTCAATAATGTGAGTCCATGACATTGTAAATATCAATCATTTGTGTTTTGTCTTTAGATTGAAGGCCTGTGACAGATATTTCAAATTTTAGGAAAGATCTTATGTCACTACCAGACCTAGTAACTAGAAGACGTCAACACCAGATGCCTTATATAAAAATGTTACTGCCAACTCTCCTCTTGTAACATCTGAAGAATGCATTAAATTATATTTCAATTCATGATTCAGTCTTTTTTTCATAACATCTTTTGAAAAATCATTTAGTGCAATGACTTTTTTAGCAGATTCATTTGAATTTGTACGATTTATGTATATTATAAAGTAAGAATTCAAAATATGTTTCTATATAATTGTTTAAAGTTTAATTTGTTTTTCTACATAAGTAAATGTTAAACTGTTACAAAGAAAATATTAGTTACTGATTATTGTAAAAACCTTAAGGTGATAAATGTAAATTAATAGAAATATATTAAGTATTTGTTGCTTTTTTTTCTGGTTTGTGAAATTCTTAAAAGTTAGTTTTGGAATGATTTCCTATTTTTACTTTGCATAGTCAGTGTCTGGCACAAATGAGAACTTTAACCTATGACATTGATATTGATTTAAAACAATGGTGAAGTAATAGCTTCTCATTGTTAATGCGTAGCTGATATGGGACCCAATGCCCACTGTAACACAGAGGGGCAGCATTGTATAGTCTTCTTGATTTAAAAAAAATCGGATCAAATTTTTGTTGAACATACTTGTACTGATCGGCTTCAAAGCTTTCACAGACTAATAGTGGTTCTCCTGTAAAAGCAGCTAACCTTGAGAAAACCACTAAAAATAAAATCAAAAACATAATTTATGATCTAGTTGAGTTACAGTAGACTGAAACTGATGAACAGTACAGAGCTCAAATATGAAATGTAAGATTAGTTATGATGATCAAACACATTAAAGTGTCTTTTTCTGAAATGCATTCCCCTTTCTGATTTTATTGCTTTTGATACATGATCACCAGCATTTTTCAAAACCATATCCTGAGGGCTTTTTAGAAAAATAAATATTACGTTAATCACTAAAGAACAACCAAAAGAAATAGAGGAACACAGTTGTGGCAAAAAATCAAAATTTAACATGATATTTGTAAATCAAATTAAATGGAATTAAATTTGAACCAATTGCAATTGTAAAGTTAGATGAACAATTGCAAAATGCAGCAGTGTGGCATTATGATTGATCTCAGTAGACCATATTTAGCAGCATATTTTTGATTCAATAGTAGATGACATTATAGTAAAAGGTGAAATTCCCAAATAAATAAAGAAATATGATTTCTTTTGTAACTATTCCAAGTTTGCTTGGTTGTGGCAATGACATTCTCACTGGATCAAAACAACTTACTACTATTATATCTAAGGACAAGCTAAATGTTGCACAGAGAGAGCTTTGTCTATTAGGTATGTTCACACAAGCTGATGTATAAATCATTCACTAAGAAAACTGGATATATTTTACAATTACATTTCAAGTTCATTTATGTACAGTTACATTAGATTGTTTTCTCTGTTTTAAGAAACAGAACTACTAAATGTAAAATTGGTGTATGTGTAAACTAGTATTATGTAAATACTATGTATACATACAGTATTTGAGGGACTCAATGTTGTAATATTGTAAAGATAATTTTACAGAACATTACTGAGAGTTAAAAAAATAGCTGGAAAAAATGTAATGCAGATAAACACTTAATCAAACTATCAAAATTCTAAGATCTTAAGACACTTGAAAATACAAAATAGAAATGATCTTGATCTTATAATTTTAAGCCCATTAGTTTGCCAGTATTGGTGAATGATAGTAAAGTTAGTAAAAAATAACAACCATAAGTAATTCGTGTTAAAATTGTTCATTGTTCATGAAAATTGCTGGTATACATAGTGTCTAGACAAAAGTCAATAATCATGGGGGGGGGGGGGGGGGTGATAAAAATCGTCCTAGTAATTATAGGCCATTAGTCTTACATCACTTTTAGGAAAGGTTTGGAAAGTCTGGTAAAAGATGCAAAGCCACTTAACAAAGTTTAGAATGTAATTGGATAGCCAACATGGTTTCACTAAGAAAAAATATTGCCTTACAAGTCTGTTGACATTCTTTGAAAAGGTTACTGCTTATGTATATGAGTGTAAGGGTGAAGATTTGGTGTATCTGGATTTTCAGAAAGCATTTGACAAGGTGCCACGTAAAAGGCTTGTAAAAAATTAGCTCTATAGGTGTGAGGGATCAGTCGGCTAATTGGTTAGAAAAGTGGCTGGATGGAAGAAAGCGGAGGGTTGCTACAAATGGAGTTCAGTCAAATAAATTGATGTCACAAGTGGGGTATTTCAAGGCTCGGTCTTAGGACCTTAGCTCTTTTTTTATTTACATCAATAACAGATGAAGGAATGGTCAATAAATTACTTAAATTTGCAGATGGTATTAAGGTCTTGGATGTTGCTGATTTACAAAAGGATTTAGATCATTTAATGAGTTGGGCTAATAATTGGCAAATGGATTGTAATTGTAATAAATGCAAGGTAATGCATGTGGGTTATCATAATTTGGATGGGAATAACCTTAACAGTGTCATGAAAGAAAGGGATCTTGGTGGGATAGTTGATCAGTCTCTAAAGCCATCCAAGCAGTGTGCTGTTGCTAGTGGTATGGCAAATAGGATTTTAAGTTGTATCTACAGAAATATTGAATGCAAGTCTAAAGAGGTTATAATTTCATTATAGGCCACATATAGAGTACAGTATTCACTCTTGGGCTCCTTGCCTCAGGAAGGACTGTTGGAAAGGGTTCAGAGGAGGGTTACTAGGATGGAGGGGGTTGTAATACCAGAAGAGGCTGATATCTCTCAAACTTTTCTTTTGAAAAAAAAAGAGAGTTAGAGGAATCTGGTTGAACTGTTTAAGATTGTAAAGGGAATTGATAGTGTTGATGCATAATATTTTTTCATATTTTACGGTGACAGTAGTAGGGCTAGGGGTAACAAATATAAATTTTGGCAAGGTAGGAGTCTTCGTCAGCTAAGACAGTTGTATTTTCTTAACAGGGTGGTTAGCCTTCGGATGTTGTGTAGGCAGTACATTTACGAGAGTTTAAGAGAAAACTTGATAAGTATATGAATGATAAGGGCTGGTTTTAAGTTTTTTTTTGTTTTTTTTATTTATTAATAGTTTAGAGGATGGGACTGCCCAGATGGACCAATAGCCCCCCATGTTGTCTCAAAACATTACGTTATTTATACAGATCGATATTAATAAAAAAATTCGAAACTTTTGCAATAAATATTTGTACAAAAAATATATACGAACACGTCTAACTCAATTATGCATTTTGGACCTTAAAGGAAGATAATTATTTTTAAAGATAAAGGACTTTTTAACACTGATGTCAGACTGTATTACAGACTTACAGAATTTGTTACCGATAACAGTTTTAACTTTTATTGCACTCCTAAACATTTTTGCCCTCCAGTGGCACAGCGGTATGATTTACAACGCTAGAAACCGGGTGGACTGGATTGAATGCGTGCTGGTTTAATGACAAATATTGATTTGTTATTATTAAATTTAACTTTTTGTTTTCCAGCGAAAATTGTACTTTTACGTAATTTAATTGCACAGTTAAAAGTAAAGATTTAATGGAAAGAACAAAATACCCCTTCAACTAATGACCCGTTGAAATTACATTTTATTTTCGCCGGGCTGAAAAAGTTGGCACAAACAACTTCACGAAAATAACTCTAGTGTGAGAATCGTGCTATTATTTCTTTATGTATATAAAGCACAAAAATCTGTGTTTCTATCTGTCAGTTATCTAACTACTACTATGTCGCTGGACCAATCTCAACCAAACTTCGTGACATGAGAGATTGAAACAAGTGGCATGTTAATGGGGGGTTAACCATCCTCTTATTGGGCTTTTTTTTTGCGTAAGTTAACGTTAACTACATTCATAGATGGCGCCTTTCATCAAAAATTTTCTATAAAACAACATGCACACAGTGTGGGGGAGGGCACACAAACGTCTTGTATGTCTTGGGGAGTGCGCTAACACACACTACGAAGGAATGCAAGGGAAAAATTGGCCGCCACTATTGCGATAATACATAAATTCAGCCGAAGTTTCTATTACAACAGCCACAATAAGGCTGATATGAGGAGCTGTTTCTCGAGTTATACCCACTTCCTATCTTGACCCCTTACCTTTCAACTTTGGCCAATGATCGTCAATCGATTAATCACTGTGGAAGGACATGTTGGGTGTTGAAAGCCGGTAACAGAAAGCACTGCCATAGCTTTGGCCTATACCTCATCCTAAAATATCACCCTGACCATTGCACAGCGTATACTATGTTTTATGTATATACATATTGAGTTTTTAAAGCTTATACAAAACTTTTGGTGAGGCAATAATGAATACTGTAATAATTTATGTTATGAATAAGTTGTGTGAAATTTAGGATATTTGTGTTATTTACCATAATAACCACCCATACATTTTTTTTTAAAGTTTATAACCCGAACAAAGGACGGGTGCCTCAGCTTATTTGATTATGATTTACAAATTAAAGAACTGCGTAATATTTAAAATACTAGATAAATGTAGTAGTATGGTTATTAAATCAAATTATGAATAAAGTTTTCTCCTCCTACCTCCCCTATTGGTCAGGAATGGCCTGATAGTTAGGGCGCATGACTCGCAATCTGCTGAGCGCGAGCACAAAGCCCATCACCGAACATGCTCGCCGTTTCCTGGTGTAAGTGTGGGTATTAAAATGTGATAGTCAATTCCATTATTCGTTTGTTAAAAGTAGCCCCAGAGTCGGAGGTTGTTGGTGTTGACTCTATGCCTTCCCTCTAGTGTATCATTTCAAAATTAGTTTTCTGGTGCTGGAATAACTCCAATATAATAAACTAGATCAAGTATTGTTAGAACATCTCCTCTTTTTTTTGTCTAATCACTTTGAAAACTTTTCTCAAAGGGCAGGAAAAGTTTATGTAACTTATGTGAACCTATACAACGTACTTTTCTTCCTACGACTAGAAATAGCGTTAATGAAACAAAAACTTTTTGAATGAACGATGAAAATTAAAACCACCAAATTATGATTATTTTCTTCGAAATTTTCAGCTTTAACTTGTAATAAATTTTAGATTTTTGAGGAGTTCCGCTAAACTTATTTAATAGTCTAATAAATACGACAAGGTGACCGAAAACTGGAAAGCTGAGATAAAAAATAATGTGATTGGTTATTCTTTAGATTTACCATTCATACATTATGAAAATTTAAATTGTTAGCGCGTGAAACTTGTGGAAAGCGCTTGTTACAATTAACCCCTATAGACTTAATTATCGATTTAAAAAATTAAGGAATGTTATCCGAGGATGTCGCCCCCCGGTGGCTCAGCGGCAAGACTGGGAACTTTTAACGCCAAAAATCGGGTTTCGATACCCGCAATGGGCAAAGTACAGATGGCTCATTCAGTAATTTTGCGCCTAACAACAAAAACACCTCAAGGTTGTCAACTTTAAGTAATACATAATTTTCTCAACCATTTACACGTCGTTGTAAAAGAGCTGACGTGAGGTACGTGTCTGTATTTACACAATTAAAACTAAGTGCACTTTGTCACAGGCTAAATACAGCTAGAAAAAAGCAGGACTAAAGCACGTGAAAGTTTACTAGGAAATTTTCTAGAAAGTTATCAAAGTGAAGGTCTCAGAAGTTTATAAGTACAGATACCATTAAGTTTGATGAGCATGGTAGACTAGTTACTTGCTATTTACTATCAATTAAACCTAAAAGAACAACGGTTAATTAATCTAAAGATAAGGCTTAGTTTATAGTTCCATTTAGCAACAGATGTTAAAACTAATTAAATTAAAACCTATAGTCAGAGAGACTTTTATAAACAATTTTTTCC